CATATTTGAGCAAATGACAGAACTATGTCTCACATCATGGAATGCAACGATAGGAGCATTGTTGGGGGGAGATACTAGGAGCATTGATATATAGTGTATGATTAGACACCTTTGTGAGAGACATACCACTTATCCACCTAAAACCTTAAGGTGATAGGTGAGTGGGTTTTTCCACTTATATATGCTTAAGTCTTCATATTCTCATCTAATGTGAGACTATTTCCTCACTTACTCACACTTGTTATATTATTCCAACACTCCATCTCAAGTGTGAGTCCACAATGCTCCCCCACTCTTCCAGTCCATTTCTCGAACTAAAGGCTCTGATACCACTGTTGGGGGAGTTACTAGGAGCATCGATATATAGTGTAGGACTAGACACCTTTGTGAGACACACACCACTTATCTATCTCAAACCTTAAGGTGATAGGTGAGTGGGTTCTCTCACTTATATATGCTTAAGTCTCCACATTCCTATCAAATGTGAGACTATTTCTCCACTTACTCACACTTGCTATATTATTCCAACAAACATATGCAATGCATGGGAGCTATACAAAGGTATTAGAGCTCTTTGTTCATATGAAATGCACTACTGTTTATGTTATATGCACGGATTTTGTTTTTCATTTGACAATTGTGTTAATCCTTACAACTCTAAATGCTATCAACATTGTTCATGTTAGTTTATTAGTTTATATTGGACAATTAGTTATGAGACATATTCGATTTCTGATAGATATATTTGTTCTAAAACTTCTTTGCATCGTGGTGAGGTTGCTGAGATTTTGGCAAAGTATTTTCTAGAATATCCACTTCTTACAAAGTAAGTCTTTGCTCAGGTTAGCAATGGGTTTTATAATGTCCGTGCATTAAACGTGGACATGAATCAGATATCATATTCAATCAAACTATTCCAACATATTTGTCATTTGTAAAAGTTTCAAAGTTTCACATGAATATTACTTGACCATGTCTCATGCATTTTCCATAGAGAAACAAAATATTTAATGGGCTCAAATAACCACTTATATAAATAATATTAATTTTTTGATTTTTGAATTTGTTACAGAATAACTTATTATGTGATTTTAACTACAAATTAACATGAAATTTTATGAACTCAAGTATGATATTGATTTTAACCACGTAACATGCTACGTCATTATCTTTGACAACTGACACTATCACGTGTTAGTGTTACGTCAGTTCTATTAACGGACATTAGTAGGTGAGACTAAAAATATGGATAAATTTTTTTTGAGAAATGATTCTTTGAAGAAAAATATTTAGAGAAACTAAAAGCGAACAAATATATTTAAAGAGATCAAAAATTTATTTAATTCTATAAAATATAAATTAAAGTTATTAACATGAAAAAAACTTACTCCCCCGGTCTCATTTATAAGAAAAAATTAACTTTTTATATACATTGAATAAGTAATGTATTTGGACAATATATTGTCCAAATACATTACTTATTTAATGTATCTAAAAAGTTAACTTTTTCTTATAAATGAGACCAGAGGGAGTATTAATCATCTTTGTTAATAGATAGTGTATTTAATTTTTATTATAACTTTAAAGTTATCTCCCCTGTTTTTTCAACCCCTACTCAAATCTTGCTCAATTTAATTTATTCTTTTTAATGTTAATTTTATAAAAACATGACTTGCAAGGTTTAGTCTATTTTGGTACCAGAAAAAAATTGCTAGTTAATGAATGAAGAAAACAAGATTATTGTCAAACAAGCCGTTATTATCATTGAAGATTGAAGTAGAAGGAAGACAATGTAATTGTATTCTTCTATTGTCTTTTCTTGACTCAGTCCTTCACACTTGTTCCCTTCCTTGTTGTTCCTTTTACACAACAAATGAAGTGCTTCCATTTCTCCAACGGAGGATCAGAGAAACGAGGAGTCGCAGGAGTCGAAGACGAAGAAGCTTCAGCCTCAAGCTCAAGAGGTTCACGCGTCTCATGGGCGCGTTCCCTAAGCTTAATGGACTCACGTCGTTCCGAATACGACTCCGATTCAAGAGAGTTCTCCGACACGCTCGGCTTCCACGAGTTTCTATCTCAACGCCGAGCCAATCACCTTGTTCTCTTTTCCTTCTCTGACCTTAAAACCGCCACTCGTGGATTCAATAGAGCTCTCTTGATTGGCGAAGGTGGCTTCGGGTCTGTCTATAGAGGAACCCTAAATCATCACTCTCATCGTTCACAAATTGATGTCGCTGTTAAACAATTGAATCGTAATGGTCACCAGGCATGTTCAATTTATCAGGAACGTAAACCATTTTTTTTTAGTTTGATGTGTTTTTGGTTATAATGGGGCTTTTTTTGTTGTTGTTGGTGTTGAATTTCTAGTTTTCAGGGGCATAAGGAGTGGATTAATGAAGTGAATTTATTAGGGGTAATTAAGCATCCGAATTTGGTGAGGTTGGTAGGTTATTGTGCTGAAGATGATGAAAGAGGGATTCAGAGGCTTTTGGTTTATGAGTTTATGTCTAATAAGAGTTTGGAAGATCATCTTTTGGCTCGTGTTCCTTCCTCGGTTCTTTCTTGGATTACTAGATTGAAGATTGCTCAAGATGCTGCTCGGGGTTTGGCTTACCTACATGAAGAAATGGATTTTCAGGTATGGTAGAGAAAATTGTGCATTTGTTTTGTTTGATACTGTGATTCTGTGTGAGCAGTTGGTTTGGCTTTTAGGTCTATGTTCATTTGTTTTTTTGCCAATGACATAGGGGATGTTTGGTTAGGGTCAGTGTTTGATGAGGATTTACAATAAATGATACCTCTTTGTGAACTCTTGGTGAGTGAAGCATCATACATTTCATGTGTGGGCACACTGTGTGAGTCTGTGTTTTAAGTGGCCTCTGTGGCCTCTTGGTGAGTTAACAAAAGTCTGTTACTTGGCTTTCTAATTTGGATTTTTAACAGTGCTCTATAAAAAGAGTCCTTGTGCTCTTGCCATAGCTTAATTCATTTTAATTTTGATTCAAGGCCCACTTTGGATATCTTTTTAATTCGGCCACTCTCGTCAGCTAATATCTCTAGACGACTTTTGTAGTAATAAAATACTGATTTCCATTGTATCTGATGCAGCTAATATTTCGAGATTTTAAAACATCCAACATCTTGCTGGATGAGGACTTCAATGCAAAGCTTTCAGATTTTGGACTCGCTCGGCAAGGACCCTCAGAAGGGTCTGGCTATGTTTCAACAGCAGTAAGAAAATGTCTATATCTTGTAGAGAAAAAGTCATTATACTCTTCTTTTTATTTTGACAGAAAAAGTGAAAAAGACTTATACTTTACCTTTAAGTAATACCATAATGATAGAAAATTGACAATATTGCATGATAACATTAGATGATTACAAGAACATGCTGGGAAGCTTTTCTTGAACAGATAATGTATATTTTTAACTATATATGCTGAATTGAGTTTCATGAGTTCATATTGCTAGTTGGAATTCTGAACTCTAAACCTTAGTTTGTAATCCGATCCGGATATTCTACTGATATGCAGAATGAGTGACTTATTTTCTCTTTACAAAGGTTGTTGGCACCATAGGATATGCTGCACCAGAGTATGTTCATACTGGCAAGCTGACTGCTAAGAGTGATGTTTGGAGCTTTGGCGTAGTTCTTTATGAGCTTATCACTGGGAGGAGAGCTGTAGAAAGAAACTTACCAAGAAACGAACAAAAGCTTTTGGAGTGGGTAAGATCTTATGTATCTGATTCTAAGAAGTTCCATCATATTGTCGATCCTCGGCTTGAGGGACAGGATTGCACCAAATCAGCTCATAAACTTGCAATCCTAGCAAACAAGTGTCTAATGAAGCAGCCAAGGTCTCGCCCAAAAATGAGTGAGGTGGTTGAGATTCTCGACAACATTATCAATGAGACTGTTCCCGTGGATGAATGCATTTCCCAAACTGTTGCAGAAACTGGAGAAGGAAAAGAAGTAAATTTATCTGTAGAGGATGCCGAGCGGGAACCAGCAAAACAGGGGAGTAATTATCTGAAGAAGGTTTTTGAATTCAGAGACATGGTCAGCTTAAGAAATAAATCGATTGGAAGGTTTGATTGGAAAAGTTGGGCACCTGGGCTTGTAAGAACTTGGTGATGAGTTATCTGCATTCATATCTTGGAAAGCAAAATCTTCCCCTACGGTTGCCTGTTCATCGCAATGTTCGGCGATCACTTAGTTTCAGTCAGTAAAATCGACATTGCTGAGCACACACGGTTAACATACTAATCCATGTCAATTTTGTATTAATTAATAAATGCTTGTACAGAATAATTTAGAACAAACCTATATCATATCATGTTATCTGACCTTGATACTAACTACGAAAGCAGTCATGAAAGCATGGTTTAGGTATGGAAGGAATTATGTGTATATTTCAAACTACATACAATTCATTGAAAGACTTGAATTGTAAGAGTCAGACTTCACTTGTATGAATTGAGTTACGATTCCAATTTCCAAGTCTTCTATGAATATGTTGTTTGTTTAACAATTACCAATCACCTACTTTGATATTTATTAATAGTAGCAGCCAATCAAGGACAGAGTCAAACTTGGATGATAGGGAATTAACATTATTAAATATAAGATTGAAGTTGATTTAGTAAATATACATACATGCATCAAATTATTAAACTATGGCTTCATATATTAAATTAGGAATTAGAAAACTATATAACAAATAGATTACAATATAATTGAGCTAACCATCGAAGCATACAAAAGCTCTAGAAATCCAAGTTATTTGGCTGTTACAAACACTAAGATCCAATTATTCATAGACATAGGCCCTCTCAACAAGCAAAATGTCCATGAGAAATTTGGTTCTGAAACATTATTCTATAGTAAGATATGTACAATTTATTTGGTAACACTTCGTGGTATGCGATCATTGCGTTTTAGTACATTCAGCTTTGTTATCTCTCAAGGATGCTATATCTGGATTTTGCAATGTGACATGTCATGTACAGAGCATAGACGTAGAGCGTTGAGGAAAAGCCGTGGTTGCTATAACACGGGTAACATCATCAGCACTTCTTCTACGCAAACGATTCTGATTGCATCCATTTACATGTTGAACCTGTAACTGCTCCAAATTTGTAACAACCTCATCCATGTTTGGTCTCAACTTGGCTTCTGTTGCAAGGCATCTTAGGGAGAGTGTAGCAACCTTATATGCATCGTCTAGTTCATATTGGCCTTCAAGACGGTTATCCATTACGCGCAAAATCTTACGCTTGTTGGGCAGATAAGGCTTAGCCCATTCCACCAAATTCTGTTGTCTGTGTGGTCTATTCTTGTCAATAACTCTCCTCCCTGATAATATTTCCAACAGGACAACTCCGAAACTATAGACACCACTTATAGCTCTGTGAATACCTTCAACAACAAAAGATTTTATTCACCAACCAAAATGATATTTAATTGTTGATTATTGACTAAGTTAATGATCTCAACAAAATACCAGTGGCTACATATTCTGGAGCTGCATATCCATAAGTTAATACGGTGGAGACACGACCTTTATCAACCGCAGACCCGACCTTTGCCAGCCCAAAATTAGAAAGCTTTGCATTATAATCCTGTGATCAAATCAGCAAAATTTTCAGATATGATACTTAAATAAACTTTATATATTGTGTGTGTTGTGTTAAGCGTGTACAAATGGACACATACCGAATCTAGCAAGACATTTGAAGTCTTGAAATTTCGGTACATCACTTTTTTCTCAGCACTGTAAAGAAATGCGAGGCCTTTCGCAACACCAAGAGCAACCTTCAAACGTAGGCTCCAAGAAAGAGGTTGAAAATATGAGCCTCCTGTTACAACATTATTGATAATGTTAGGCAATGCCTTGTCAAGTACAACATTATTGGTAATGTTAGGCATACCAAGTCAATTACAACAATGTGAAAGGATGAAAAGAGAAGAACTCACTGAGAAACAAGTGATTCTCCAAGCTGCCACGAGGCATAAATTCGTATACCAGAAGATTGTTTTCATCTTCAAGGCAGTATCCAATCAGTTTCACTAGATGAGGATGTGAAAGCTGGCCTAGATAATTGACATCAGCCTAAAATAGAAATAGAGAACACTGATTGATGTAACATAAACCAAATCTCTCTTACTTTCCAACTATCAATAAAATTAGCTAGAAGAGAATGTGGCATTGTCTTTATTCGATAAAAATCCAAACTTTGCATCGTCAAATCGGTTATACTCAACAAAAGCTAAAGTGAGACGTTTTCCATGCTCCTGTTGAAGATTTTCCTCGTTTTCATCAATGGAAAACTGAAGAGAAGAAAGTTGGGTTTTGTTGGGGTGGTGTAAATGAACAAGTGTTTGTGTGTGAGTGGTTATAGGGGTTGAAGAAAGGTGTTTGAGATGGTGAAGAAGAGAATCTAAATGAGAGGAAAGATGTGTTTGTTGTTGTGAATCAGAAGGTGTGAGAGAAGTTTCCGGGAGGTGGAGAGATAAGTGGGTCTACGAGGAAGATGATAAAGGGTTTGAGATGCTTTTTTGGCTTTCTTGAAATAGGGATGATAAAGGGTTTGACGTGGGCCTATGGATCTAATGGCTTTTTGAGAATTGTTTTTAGATCTTGTTTTATAAGGGAGATGAAACACTTGCAAATGTTTCTCAAAATCTCTTCTAATTATGGAGGAGGTTTTTGTTGGTAGTAGTTGATGATAATTATCGTAGTAGTATGAATAATGAAATGATGAATAGGATGAATATGAGTTAGGTGGAGGTGGTGTATACCCATGATTAAAATACAAATATGGGGTTGTAATATGTGGATTTGTCGAATAAGATGAGAAATTTTCCTATGGAAAAGATGAAAATGAGGGTGTGGTAGGAGATGTAAGAGAGGGGTTTGTGAGATAAGTTGGAGGAATGCTCCATTGATGATATGGATATGCCATGGAAGAATTGAAGTTCAAGGATGAAAGCACCAATTGATAGGAAGCAAATGCTAGAACCCTAACAAAACTAAGAAAAGCTATAAAACTAAGAGAAAGATAAAACTAAACTATTAAAAGTAAAGATTCATTTCATTCATTTGACAATCTTTCAATGTCTCAAGGGACTACATATATAGTACTCCTAATGGATAATTTTCTAAAAGGCCCAAACACTAATAAAAGCTCAACTATATAACATTACAAATAAAAGTACTACTAATATAAATTAGGCATTAATTTAAGTAACTAAATTATTTATCTCAATAATTTCTCTTCTCTATCATTACTCACCCCTTCAAGATCAACCTTGTCTTCAAGGTTGAAAAAATAAAATAATGTCGAAATATAAAATTTTTCTGGATCTCATTGAAAGTGTAGTTTCTCTCAAGTGCTTCTCTTATGAAAAACTCAAACTGTCTAAACATAAGAAAAAGCTTCTCCAGCACCAACTAGAATCCAAAAACGGATGCATGTTGATGAAATTGGAATGGGCTTGATTACCATTTTAACCTCTTAAACTTGAGTCATTGTTGAAACCAACCATTGACTTTCTTTGTTTCCATCTTTTGAGTTTGTCTCTTCTAGGATTGTAGCTTTGTCAAGAGACCAGAATCTATCTATATGTGGAACCTGAGCTTCAACATAATCATGGAGTAAAGAAGAGTCTGACAGTAGAGGAAGAGTCCTCTTTTTCCAAACTAAGAACAACACTCTCAATGAGAACATCAATTGATAGGAAGTTTTCCTATCAAAACTATGAACTAGGGTTTTCTACACTAAAAGAGGAAGATAAAAGACTTTTCATTTGATTTCTTGATTGCTTAATGTCTCAATGAGACCACAATATATAATGATACTAATGGGTCATTAACTAAAATGCTCAAAAACAAATAAAGCCCAATAACCATACTAATAATATAAGTCTTATTATTACACTATCAATAACAATACTATTAACTAATAATATAAATTCTATAATACCCTTCTATGAACATCACAATTAAGGGTGACAAACAGACATGTGAGTTCCGTTTAATCCCGTCAAAAAATGGGATGGGCGGTTAAAGTATATAGTAGATATTCAAAATTTTGGCTCAGCTCGTCAAAAATGACAGTTTAAACGGACTAGTCTGGTTTGTTTTGACATCCCTACAATGCATAATAAGGATTTAAGACATTCGAAACGTGGTAGTCAAAGTAGAGGGTGGACGTTCGAAACCTTGACTTGGACCACCAAAAGTGGCGGGGCGGACCCATTTTTCCACCTTGTAACTATATCAATAAACCATCCAATGAATTGAAATGTGAAAATAACACAGCTCAATAATTAAACCTAAACATGTAAAAGAGGTATTGTTTACTTCTTAATTAGATGATTTAAACTTACCAACATCTCCTCATGACTTTTGAAGCCATCCTGATGAAGTTTTTTGACAGCAACAACAATGCCTTTGCCAGGCTTAGCAGCAGAAGCCGAGTGTTCATCAATCCAGCCCTTAAAAACTGATCCAAAACCTCCATCTCCTAACACACTGTCTACACGGAAATTTCTCGTGGCAGCCTGAAGTTCTGTCAAAGCAAAACTCTTCAAATTGGATGATTGCAAAATCTCCCCCTCACACGAGTCAGCCCGAGGCACCGATCCCGCCGGTATCTCAATCTCACTAGTTGAGCTACTGAGAGTGACATCTTCTGTATCAACAACATTCACATTCTTTGAACTTAACCCTGAAACTGAAATAACATGATTAATAAAAAAACTAAAGTTACACCAACTACATATTACTATACTAGTACTAAACATATGTAAGATTATGAATACCAGAATTAGTTTGGCCTTCAGCTTTCACTTGGCTTCCCAAACAAACTCCCATGGCTGAAACAATATTAATTCCCATAGCTTTGTTGTCTATATATCACAACAAAAAGTCCGAGAAGGTCAAGTCCAATAGAAACTAACCATGATTGTGAACTGAAACTGCGAAAACAACGTAGAGATGGAAAAGGGAAAATGACATGAAGAACATGTTTGTAATGAAGAGAAAAAAGCAAGGAGGAGAGGTGAAGAAGATTCTTGATATGAAGGGGGCTAATATGGCTGTGTACCGTGGTGACCCACAAAAACAAAAGTGACTGAATGTAATTAAGACGTGTCCGTTTGTTATTGGCGCAAACTCGTAGTGTAACACATCGTGTCAGACAGCCGACATGCCTTAGGTGTGAAAAGTGTCGTTATATTAGAGACGATAGTGAGAAGAAGAGTGAAATGGTATTGAAAAACTTGAGCAAGTTGACTATAAGTATATAAAAGTTTTGGATGGATTAGTAAAAGACATAAGGGGAGGTGAAGAGACAAAGGAAGGTGAGTATGGAGATTCATGTAACATCACATTCATTTGTATGACATGTTAAGGAACAGCTTTGTGTAACTGTAATGGACCCCGTTTTACTGTTTTGTTTGGAAAGGAAACCACTTGTTTCTACACAATCCTTAACATGGTTTGCCAAACTATCTCGTGGATATCTTTTGAAACTACTTGAGTTGTATGGTTTTAAATAATTGGTCGAAGTTGATTAAGGAGTGAAATATGGGTCCATTTGGCAAGTGGGGAGCTTCCATAATTTGTATGCAAGTTGAGAGCATAATTGGACCTTTTTGGCCTTATCCACTTGTCTTGATCATGATGAGTTGAGGAAGATTTACGCAAGAGATGGTCAAGGTCTCCATTTGTTCTATGATTAAGTCTTCGTGGTATTTGAATATCTACTAAATTATATACTAGTAATATAGTATGAACCTCATGGCAATATAATATGCTTCAAATTATTATCTTCAGTTCATGTTTATCTAGAGTCTAGTAATTTATGCACATTGGAACTTGAATAATAATAACCTCATGGCAATATAATATGCTTCAAGAAAATTATAACAAAAATTATCTCCATGTCTATCTAGTGCAAATTATTGATATGCAATCAAAATAATAATTTAAGATCTAAAAACAACGGTCTCTTTTAATGGTTTTGTTCCGGCCTGGTTAGAGACTCAATGACTAGGAAGTCTAATTATCCGTCTAAAGTTATAAGGCGGGGAAGGTATAATGCATTTATAATTTTGAGATTCGTATCCGATCTACGTCACAAAAGATTATTTATCGTTGGATAATATTTAACGGTTTCCCATGTTTCATGTAATGTCCGTTAATTTAATTAATTATTTACTTAAATTATTTTTGGATTATTGGTTGAAGTTGTGAGATGTTGAGAATTGTTGGTATAAGTTGTTAGATTATTATTAATTAATTGATTAGTTGATTAATAATAATAATAATGTTGAAATTAATGGAATAATTGAGCTTATTTATATGGTGGTATGTAGCATTAAGGAGGTGTGAAAATTAGGCCCAATAGCAATACTATTATTATTAAATTTGGTTATAATAATAGAAATTAGAAGTGACAGTAAGGAAAAGAGGTTTTGTCAAGTAGAAGAGGAATAATGGTTGGAAGAAAGAAAAGAACGTAGAAGTTACTGAGAAGAGGAAAAGAGGCAAAGCGGGATTCGATCGAAAAATTGTAGAGCAATCTCTAATCCGAGGTAAGGGTGAGATTTTGACTCTCTAATAAGTGGTATAATGGTAGGGATGTAATGATATGCATGTTAGATTTTGGTGTAGATTGTTTGATTTAATCCGTTGAAATTGACTATAATCGATGAATTGATGCTTTGAATTGTGTGGTAATTGATGTATGTTGATAGCAATGATAACTGGATGTTTGATTGTGTATTATTTCATGAAGTTTGTGTCTTTGGAATTGAAACAAATTAGTTTTCGTACTGCACTTTACATAATTCGTAAAACTATTTTTCACAGGGTGCAATCGATTGCAGCAGAAGAGCAATCGATTGCACTGCTTAAAAATTAAGATTTTTGCTTCTGTTTCAGTAAGCAATCAATTGCAGCAGAAGATCAATTGATTGCACTGCTTTAAAACGTGATTTTTGGCCTCTGGAACAGGGTGCAATCGATTGCTCTGTTAGTGCAATCGATTGCTCACTGTTTGACAGTATTTTTGAAAACTTGAAAACTCCATAGCTTTTGAACCGTAACTCTGTTTGATGCGTTGCAAATTTAATGCGATGAACTATATTTATAAGGAGTAAAATTAATGATAAGAAGGATAGTTCTAGTACTCAAGTTAGGATAGAGTTAGCTTTCCCGCGTTGAATCACCATGATGTTTTGTGGTGATGAAGTATGATGATGACATGACGATCTTATGATAATGCTTGATTCATAATAATAATATCAATGATAATGATGATGTAGTATTATAGTATAATAATTTGTAGAAGTTTTGTAATTATAAATAAGCACTTAGATAAGTAATTAACCGGTATAGTCGAGAATTATCCGAATAATTATGGGCAATATTATGTTGTAGGCTTATGGCAAATGTCGAATGGTTGTTGACATGTTGTTGTATTATTGTTGTTGTGACGTACTAAGTTGTAGGCTTATGCCAACGTTGCTATAATTGTTGTTGTTGAAATATCAAGTTGTAGGCTTATGGCCAGTGTTGAATTATTATTAAGTTGTTAGGCTTATGGCCAATGTTGATTTGTGTTGAGATGTTGTGTTGTTGTGATTGTTTCTGAATTCTTGTTGATAATGCGAAGTTGCAGAGAATTTTAAATGATGAATTAACTCTATTTACTGGTAATAATGGTGATGTGGGCTTATGCCTTGCGATGGATGATGATTGTTGTGAGTATGTAATGGTGTATTCCTTGAGTCACATACATTTGCATACTCTGTGATGGCCTGGATTGACAAACTACAAAGAAGGCTTATGCCTTGTTGATGCCTCTATTTATTGGCATATTTTTAAGATAGGAGCTCTGCTCCAATGGTACCACATGCATGTACATTGTAATTGAGTCGCAGTTGATGTTACATATTGAGTTGTGGTGATGATATATTTGTTGTTGCTTTATGTTGTTGATTTGTTGTGACAAGTATTATCTAAAAGCTGTGAATTAGTAGTTATGCTGTGTTGATGTTTTGTTGTGATTAAAGTTGTTTGTAAGTTGTGAAGTGGTGATTTTATATGATTTGATTTAATATATTATTTATCACACGACTTATTATATTGTCCGATATCCCACCCCTTCTATTTGAATGTTGCCCTCTGTTGGTAACGTGCAGGTAATCAAGAAGGATAGTTGTTACCTCGTTAGTTCGAGTCGGTGTTGTTGCTCTGATACGTAGCACTCGGGAGATGAGCGCTTGATGTTTAATTGTTGATTATTATTTCAGTTGTTGAATTTTAAAGTTGATTACATGAAATAATTGTTGTCTTGAGGTTGTTTTAGTTGAATAAAAGATGTTAAGTGAATTGAAGTTGAGTATGTAGATTCTGCTGCTTATCAACAAAAAGTTGTTTGATTTTGAAGAACAAATCAGATTGTTATCGGTTCATCCGAGTTAAGTGTTATATATCTGTTTGTATGGGATTAAATGAAGTTTGATTTTAAGTTGTAAATGTAGCATCATATTTATGTTGAACTCTGATTTTTCATATTATTCGTCGGGTAGAAATGGGGTGTTACATTCACGTCGGGAAGCATGAGGTATCTCTATCCGTCCTTCTCCAGAATACACGTGGGATGCATTGAAGTCTTGATTGTCTTGCATTCTGATATGTCAAACTTCTTCAGAAGTTATTTGGTGTACTTACTTTGATGGGTAAATGTCTCTTCTGGACTTTGATTGATATGGATACCCAGAAATAACTTGAGTTTTCCCATCATACTCATATGAAACTCAGCCTGCATAGACTTAGAAAACTCCTTGCACAAGGTAGCATTAGCAGAACCAAATATAATATCATCAACATATATTTGAATTACTAGAATATCATTTTCAAATGTTTTGCAGAATAAGGTAGTATCGATATTTCCATTGATAAAATCATTTTCTAAAAGAAAATTTCTTAGTCTTTCATACCATGCTTGTTTCTTCGTGAAACAATCTCTAGCCTCTTATTAAAGGTTACATGCGAGATCGGCTATGTGATACAGTGGGAGAACTGACTTGGATGTTTTGCATTTTATCGCAAATGTTGCAGATAGAAAGAGTCGCCATCGACTTTTCTTTTATCCAATAAAGGAAAGGGTGAAAAGAACAGGAAAGACCTTTTGAGAATTTTTCTTGAGTTCGGGGGGTAGGTTATGAAAAGGGAAGGTGTTAGCACCCTTTTCATCTGTAGTTATCTATGGGTTCTTAATTGCTTGATCACTTTGAAATTCTTTGTGTTTGTGTAAGTTTGAAAATATTTTGAAAACGCCTAAGTTTGGCAAACTTTGCAATGATTCTCGCATCATTGAGAATGTATACAAAGTGTTGGTTTTGAAAATATTAGTTTGGAAAAGGAATGTTTGAAAATGTTTTAAAGATGCCAATCTAAGGCCATTTTGTAATGATTCTCGTATCATTGAGAATGTATACAAAATATTTGTTTTGAAAGATGTTTTGGAAGTGTGAAGTGTAAATGATTTTGTCTGTGAGCAAGAAATTACGAGAAATCTATCTACTCAAAAAGTCTTTGTTCTTTTCCTCCTCCTTTAGATAATTCTATTTTACCAGTGATTGGTAGAGAGTCATATCATTGGATGTGAAGGGACAAACGTGAGTCATTGTACAGTCATAGAAGGTAACTTGTAAGATATTTTAGCAATTGTCGTAAGGGACTAAGATCATTTACCGAAGGCAATATTGAAGGTTCATCGAGGGACTATGATCTTTTAATCGAGGGTCTTTGCTAAAATCATCTCACGTTCGAGGGACATGACTGTTTTTCATCTGAGGCAACAAGTGTGGGTTATCCTAGAGGTG